TAACTGACTGACTGGTGTAACTGACTGGTGTAACTCACTGGTGTGATTTCCTGCAGTTTTGGCAAAAGGGTGGAATAAAGTCACCTACAAGCATAGATTTTGGATAAAAAACAAATACATTGTTTTACGTTGATTGCTGAACTCAGAAGAAGGAAAGAAAAATTCAAGGCTCAAGAAACAGTTGAACAGTGAAAACCAGAGAGGTGTCTCCCAGCTGGGGGGGTAGCAGAGGAGGAGGTGAGGGAAGAACACAGGTAGCCCACCTTTAGGCCCGGCCTCAGGGGCAGCCTGGAGCCCCGCTGCCCAGCAGGCTGGGGGAGAGCTCGCAGCTCTGCTCTCCGACCTGAAGCACCTGGAGCCGTCAGGGTGACTGACGTTGAATGCGCACTGTCTGTGGTCCAGCAGCTGTCTGGTGGAGAACATGACACCAAAGCTGCCTTGGTAACACCCCTCGGGCACCTCCTGGTCATGCCGGTCATGCCGGAGGTGGAGATGGCCCAGAGTTAGGTGCAGCAGGGGAGCAGGAAATAGCTAGCTGAGACGGGCCTTGACAGAGGGCGAGGCAGGGGGAAAGGCTGCGGACACCCCTGGGAGAGGGAGGGTGGCGCTGCCTCCCGCCTTCTGGGGGCCCTGGTATTCCTTCCGGTGCCTCAGCTGGCTCACTGGCTTTCCTCCCTTCTCACTGGATGTTGTGGGGGGTGGTGTAACCTTGTACAGAGTAGCAATGGATAGAGAGCCTTGGGGCCGGGAGGCGTGCTGCCATCAATCACCAGTGCCTCCGGGATAGCTCGGGCTCCCGTGCTAGCAGGGCTCCGGGTCAGGCCACACCGCACGCCCGTCCCGTCCAGGCTGAACAGGTGGAGGCTCCCTCTGTCCGGCCCTGCCGTGGACAACCCTGGGCACGCCCTGGAGCAGGTGTGGAGCGTGCTCCCTGCTGGGCTGGCTTCCTCCGCACGGAGCCAGCAGCTTTTCCTGTCCTTGCTGAGTGTTCGCTGAGCGAGCATATGGCCATTTGTCTACCTCGTCTCGTTAGGCATTTGACTTGTTTCCAATTTTTTATACTAAAGTTGCGATGAACATTTAAGCTTTTGTGTGAATACTGCCTGTTGTCAGTTTTCTTGAGTATTTACCTAGGAGAAGTGCTGGGTCATAGGTTAGTTGTTTGTTTAACTTCATGGGAAACGGTCAGTTTTTCAAAGCATATTATAATGTAGTCACAAACCTTGTATCAGCAATGTATGCGCGTCCTGGTCGCTCCACATCCTTGCTGCACTTGGAATTGTCTTTCTAATTTTAGCCCTTCTAGTGTGTAAGAAGTGGCACATCATGGTGATTTTAACTTGCATTTCTCTGATGATTAGTGATGTTGAACCTACTTTTTTGTTCTCACTGGCCATTTGTTTATCATCTCTTTGGAAGCGTCTGTTCAGTCTTTTGCCTGTCTTTGAGAGTGTTGGTGATTCACTTCTTTTTTTTTAAATTAAATCTTTATTGTTCAGATTATTACAGTTGTTCCTCTTTCCCCTCCCACCATAGCTCCCCTCCACCCGGTTCCCACCCCACCCTCCGCCCTCACCCCCCCACACTGTCCTCATCCATAGGTGTATGATTTTTGTCCAGTCTCTTCCCGCATCCCCCACACCCCTTCCCCCACCCCAAGAATAGTCAGTCCACTCTCTTTCTATGCCCCTGATTCTGTTATAATCACCAGTTTATTCTGTTCATCAGATTATTTATTCACTTGATTTTTAGATTCACTTGTTGATAGATATGTATTTGTTGTTCATAATTTGTATCTTTACCTTTTTCTTCTTCTTCCTCTTCTTACAGGATACCTTTCAGCATTTCATATAATACTGGTTTGGTGGTGATGAACTCCTTTAGCTTTTCCTTATCTGTGAAGCTCTTTATCTGACCTTCAATTCTGAATGATAGCTTTGCTGGATAAAGTAATCTTGGTTGTAGGTTCTTGGCATTCATCACTTTGAATATTTCTTGCCACTCCCTTCTGGCCTGCAAAGTTTCTGTTGAGAAATCAGCTGATAGTCATATGGGTACTCCCTTTTAGGTAACTGACTTTCTTTCTCTTGCTGCTTTTAAGATTCTCTCTTTGTCTTTTGCTCTTGGCATTTTAATTATGATGTGTCTTGGTGTGGTCCTCTTTGGATTCCTTTTGTTTGGGGTTCTCTGTGCTTCCTGGACCTGTAAGTCTATTTCTTTCACCAGGTAAGGGAAGTTTTCTGTCATTATTTCTTCAAATAGGTTTTTTTTTAATTTTTATTTTTTTAAATATTTTTTGAGAGGATTTAATGATTTGTTTTTTTTTTCAGATCTATTAAATCTTTATTGTTCAGATTATTACATTTGTTCCTCTTTTTTCCCCCCATAACTCCCCTCCACCCAGTTCCCACCCCACCCTCCTCCCTCACTCCCCACCCACTGTCCTCATCCATAGGTTCACGATTTTTGTCCAGTCTCTTCCCGCATCCCCCACACCCCTTTCCCCCAAGAATAGTCAGTACACTCCCTTTCTATGCCCCTGATCCTATCTAATAAAAGAGAAACATGGTAATTAGCCGTACCTCCGCTACCCTTCCCATTGGCTAATCAGGGTGATATGCAAATTAACTGCCAGCCAAGATGGCGGCCGGCAGCCAGGCAGCTTGAAGCTACCAGGAGGCTTGCTTGCTTCAGTGACGGAGGAAGCCTATGTTCCCCGCCTGTGGCTGCCGGCCTCTGAGCTTGTAGTTTGAAACATTGTTACAAATAGAGAAGCTGAATAAAACCCCAGAAACCTGCTTTCAGCCAGCCGGGCTTCAGCCAGCAGGACCGCAACATTGTTTCAATTATAGAACAAACGCAGATCCCTGCTTTCAGCCAGCCGGGATCTCAGAGCTGGAGTTGAAACAGTGTTTCGATTATAGAACCCAAACAAACCAGATACCTGCTTTCAGCAGCCAAGGCCTCCGAGCTGGAGCCAAGCCTCAGAGCTAAAGCTGGCCCAGAATTAAAAAAGAAAAAGAAAAAAAGGACAGGTTGGGAGCTTCAGTCACCCGCCAGCCTGAAAACAGCCCTCAGCTCCTCACCCAGACTGGCGAGGCACCCCAGTGGGGACCCCCACCCTGAAGGGGGTGTGACCAGATGCAAACAGCCATCATCCCCTCACCCAGCTGGCCAGGCACCCAAGTGGGACCCCCACCCTGATCCAGGACACC